TGAACTTTTTTATGTCGATATATCATCCAGTTTTATCACGTACAATGATACGCTTGTTAAAATATCGAAATGATGAATTATTGGGTGCCGTATTTTATACCGAAACACAGGCTAATTATGATTTAATTGAAAAAAAAAATATATATATATATCTATATATATATCCAATATATGAATATTCGTTATCGCGAAAAAAATTGCTCGAACCTATTGAAATAATAAACGCGAAATGAATCAGTGATCAGTAATGCATGTAATCAGTAGTATGTAATTAACTGATTGCCTCTTTATCTTTCGTTAAATATTTAGTGGTGCGCGCAATAACGAGTCTATCTCGTTTCAAAATCGACCGACACTTTGTTTGCTGGTGCATTAGCTCTAGTCTATATTGCCACGGGGAGCGACATTATCTATCAGAATTTACTGGAATAAACGGTGGATTCCTATTCTGGAGAAAATCTCGTTTTCCTCGTACGATTGTCGAGCTAATATGAGGACGTCGGAAGGGGATTGTCTCCGAGCAACTGATTTTCTGCGAATCTAGATTTCTTACGTTCTGTCTAACGATACGGAATCTTTTAACTCGAAGAAGCGTTTTACGTGTGTCTTCAAGTTGAAATTGTTTCAAAGTTTGCGGTATCCAAGAATGTATCGCGCGCGAATCTTTGTGCAATTTTCACGAAATTTGTACTCTTAATGAAAAAAGATGAAGAAACGTATTTAAAAAGCAATGTCATCTCTAGGCAGCAGAAAATTTCTTGTTATTCGATTGAGCATAATAAGCATGATTGGCAAATTCCGCGTAAACATATATGCCTGCTTCCATTCCTGAAATCTTTGTCGTGGACGAGACAGGCGGAAAACGATGAAACAGGAGTTTGTCGTGAACAGGAGCACTATCCGCGAATTGGCGTAATGTCAAAGTCTCTGGCGTCTGCCACGAAAACTTTTCTCTTAGACAACAGGAAGCGTGACATTTTTGTGTACCGTTGAAACGCTCCGGCTCTTCGAATTGCAACGTCGAAACTCGAATCGACGCGACGCGTCGTAAAATCGCCTCGGTCAAGCGTCATTCCTCCCCAATAACCCGAGTGTCCTAGTTCCTTTATCGCTCGGGGCAAGACAGGCCTTTCGATTTCGCCAAACGAAACGGTGCTCCCGATACCGCGGATCGGTAATTGAAATTTCGTATCATCGTGATTTCGCGAGACGGATTTCTATTCGTTTCTATTCCCGGACACGGAAAATGGTAGACGAAATCCCCTCCGACCTCTTCCTCCGTTATGGATCTATCTGATTATCGCTGAAGCGCTCGTTACTTATTAGATCAAAAGACGATGTTAAGGAGATAGAAATTGTCTTCCGGTAAAGCACGTAATACGTAAGTTACAAAGAGAGAGAGACGCTGCGAAAGATATACACTAGAATTCGATTCTCGACGCGTCGTACTTTCAGACGTATCTCTTGTCTGCAAATATTATCTTTCCTCATTCGCAAATATCCAAAAGCGTGATATTCTATCCAGAAATGATATGACGCAGCGATGACAGTTTTTACCGAGGAAATCTTATTATTAGATAGCCTTTTATTAAAAATCGATACGTGTGCCATCGAGCGATCGCGTAAAATAAGTGCCCACGTGTATTTTTGTTTTAACACGCTACTATTAGCGTCGAATTAACGCGAAATGCAAAGTATGAGCTGAGTTATTAGCTGCCCTCCGCGATGCATCATCCTTTTCATCGTATTTTTGACGGTATTTTTGACTCTTTCGAGAAATTTATCTTTCTCGAGTGTGTCGGTCCATCATACATTTGTATTAAAGTCTGAAGCGGAATATATTGGCGGCGAACGAGACGGAACTTACGATAGTCTTGGCGAAGAGTTCCTTGAACGAAGCTGACCTACTTAACGGCAAAATTGAATTTGAGATATTTTAATCGCAAATCTAAGTATTGAGACGATGCTCGATGTGCTTCCGGGACGCGCATAATAAAAATACAAATTTGATTCAGGAGAGATTAATCGAATTCATCTCGGTGATGCGCCGAAGCGGTGGATGCCGGCGAGAATTGATTTAATTATTTAACTTATTTACTTAAAGAAGAGCACCTTCCCTTATCATACGTGCATTGTCGAACATTTGACGTGTTATTATCGTTTTTCAGCTTTTCCGATAGTTGTGCTAAAACTTGATGCTAGTGTTACGTAACGACCATTATCCGGTTAGCAATTATCCCAACTTGATCAAAGTAATCGCTTAGGGCGTTTCTCCGTTATAGAGACTGTCTGAAATTAAGTTCTGATATTGAAAACGTTCTCCGCTTAAATAACTAAATATTATTCTTCATTGATCTCAAATCTATCGAGTTATTTACCAAAAAATCTCGCATTTTCCCGAATTTATCGCACGCGATGCCGATCTGTGCATTGTTTTTGCGGGAGATAGACTTGCATTTATGCATGCAATATTCGATCCTCGGTGCTTGAAATGCGGCAGGGCGCAATTTTACTCGAGACCCCTATCTTGATTTATGACATTATATGTTTCGCGCAAGAGATTGCGTTATATGTTCGTCGAAAATCTCGCCAATTTGAGATAAATAATCGCGCGACGAAATTTGCAAAGCTGGATTCGAGGGCCGCACAAAAGGTTGGAATGCGAATGGTCCCGAATACGTCACTCGTTTACGCTTCCACGAGAATCGGTCTCTCTCGCGCTTTTCTCCCTCGTTCGTGGATCTTCATCTTTCATCCGGGTCCTGCCGCTTTAACTCGCCCGCCGCTATATCAGACGTGACACGACTCCATTATATGAACGTCGAGTAGGTCGAGCACGCAATTAACAAGTTCGCTTGACTGCGAGGCGCTACAGTTAAGCAAATGAATGCAGCCGAGAGCTAAATCTTAACTATCTCCGGATACACGGGGCATCGCGAGACGCAGCAGCGGTCCCTTTTTTTTTTTCTCTCCTCGAGCATCCTTGACTCTCGTCGTCGAGCGTGCATTTTTCCTTTTCGTCCGATTCTTTTTCTTCTTTTTTCTTTCTTTCGCTTTCGCGCTAAAGTGCGAATCTCGGTATACGATGTATACGAGACGCTCCGAGTCGTTAACGTCACGTTAATTTGCGCGCTTCGTCGAATCGAATGTCGATCGATGATATCGAGTCAATTGATTATTTTTACATCAAAGTAAATCGCAGCCATTTTCATTTTCCGTTTTGTTTTCCGAGCGATTGCTCCTCGTGACGCGTCATCCATGGGATGTACTCGAGAAGGCGGAGATGTGTCTGTCGTACAATCTGCACGCTGAAGCGCATCGTAAAATAAAAGCATGTAGAGAACTACGTCGTAGGACGGATAATCGATAAATTGTAGTGAGAGATATTTGATTAAATAACCGATAGAGCACAGCCGGTTCGAGATCCCCCCCGAGTTGGCTCGATTGGGGAATTGTGGGAAGCGAAAAGAGACAAAAAGAAAAGGAAATGAATGAGTGGAGAGACGGAACTGACGGCAGTGACGGTGAAACTAACGTAACGTTGCTTGAGAAAGTCCCAAAGCTACCTCCCGAACGAACTACTCAGTCAGTGTAACTGCGCGCGCCGCGACGTTTCCTTCTTATTGCGAATCTCGTTCGGGACTATTAAATTCGCAACCCTGAATGAATCTTCAAGAGGATCTTCCAGTGTCGGTGGGAAAATGTCACGATTTTAGTTTGAGTCTCAGAGACGCGAATGTCGTTCAAAGCTTTCGGTTGATCATGAAAGACACGTCGCGATGACTGATCTGACTAATAAACGCTAATTGATCAAGAACATTCTTTCAAAGGATTCCCGAGTAATCGAAACGAATTGACTCTGAACTTTTTCATCATGCCGTTATCCTCTTTGGTAAGTGAGTACTTCAAAGATTTTTTTTCCTTTTTTTTTTTTTCAAATATTCTATCATCGAGTTTGCAAAGAATGTTATATTCACACGTGCCTCGAATTTGATAGAGCGAACGTGCGAAAACTCTTTGCTAGAAGCTATTAATATTTCTTTTCCTTTTTCGAGGAAAAAAATGTGTACAAAGTCCTGAGTGATTCTGGCAACGTTGCCTTTAATTCAAATCGTTTTTCATTGAAAGTTTGAGCTACAAATTCTGTCCCATTGCCATATTTATTGCCTCTCCATTTTTGCGCACATATAAAGTACATCCCACATGCAGATACAAGTTAAATTATTCGAGGAGCAGCTGATTTACGATTTGCAAATTTACATATTATTTACAAGCTTTTTATCGCAATCATCATTGCATTATTACTTTTTCTTTATTATATTAAACGCGCTTAAAATATAGTATTTTAGAACCTTTGCCAATTTTACCTGCGTTTCGCAAATAGAATTATAACATGTTTTAACGTAGAGATAGCCGGTTCTAGTTTCTAACTGCTACTTTATATCGGTATCGTATCGTCGCAAAATGCCTCTAGCTGCGATCTCTCTCGCCGTTAAATTGTGCGTTTGGTCAGTGAGGCGTGCCACGTTACTCAGTAGTTTAACCATCGTAGGCTAAACTGTTTTTCTTACACTATCTTTTGTATTCTTTTTTAAAAACTACTTTTTCTCATTATTTTATTTACTTTTTGTTAGATCTATAATTTTTCTTAGATATATTATATCAGGAAGACGTTTTTCTACTGTTGCTACCGTTTTTGTAATGTTAAATTTTCAGAATATTATAAGAGAAAATATCCTGATATAAGTTGACATACTAAAAAAAATGGCAAAGAATTGCCAAAAAAAGGATCGTATTTAAAAAATGTATTAAAGATCGAATAAGAAATCTAGTATTTATGAATCAAAAACACAATATTAATAATTCCATTAAAATACGATTGTCTGCAGTTACGCGATCATGCGCAGTAATATAGTTTATTGTTTACTTTATTCGAAATCAACAGATAATTTACAATCTTAATCTTTGCTCTCTGACCCAACTCGGGTTATCGGTATTTTGTTGAACGAGACATTATGAAGACATTAGCTGTCCAGTTGTGGCATTACTTCAAGCCTGTCAACTAGCAACATTTAAAAATGTTCAAGTATCTTCTAATACTTTTTATTGTTTGGTATCAAACGCAAGGACGTACATTTGATGTAAGAGCTGACACTCAGATCGATACAAAATCGCTAACATCAAATTATCAAAATAACAGTGAAGGTAAACATTTTTCTTATCCAATAATATATTATACATATACCATTTGTAAATACAATAAAAAGAAATATTTTAACATTTAAAAAGGAAAAAAAAGATAAATTACTGTGAAAAATTGTTTTTTTTTTATAAACATTAAACACTAGATTATCACGAGAAGTGATGGATTCCCCATGATTCATTCGCTTTCTTAGACATGATTTATTACATAAGTACAAAAATAATTTGAAATGTTAGCGGAATGCGAAATTCTTTATTATTCTTTATATTTCGGAAAATAATATTAAAATATCTCTTAATTCTTCTATCAGAGGAACTCAATAAGAGGCACGTGGTTGTTATGAACGGACATAATAATTATCAAGTGGGTCAGCAAATATTTTATATATACAATGAAGAACAATCAAAACAATTAACAAATAATAAGGCAAAATTGAACGGCTACATTATCACACCTGGAATAAGTGCGCACAAGCTTCATCCACGCAAACTCACGTGGAACAAAGCTCGCCAAGCTTGTGACCAGGAAGGAGGTAAAAAAAATACTGCAATCAAACGGTCATTAATGTGCTCACGGGCACGTGTTACGCGAATTTTCATAATTGGCTTAATATTATACCGTCTGAAAAGAATTGACGTAATAACGATAGTCTCAAGCAAAATACCTCCATTATACTTATTATACTACGCCATTAGGTCATTTGGCGATTATCAATTCGGAATCGGAGGAGAAGGTCCTTTTGCGTATTCTAGAAGAGAAAACCATCAAGTTGGCTTGGCTTGGGCTCCATGATTATTTTGAAGAGAATGATTGGGTTACTGTTACGGGCGAGGCCTTAGAAAATACTGGGTTTACGAGATGGACTACTAAATGGCCAAACGAACCCGATAACCTCGGTGGTAATCAAAATTGCGGGTCTCTCATTGTGGAAGGTGGAATGGACGACATCGGTTGTGATTCATTACTATCCTTCTTCTGTGAGATCCCTCTGTAAAATTATATCGCGTTAAAGAGATCTATTAACTCTACAGGGTAAGATATAATATATGTTTATATGAAAGATCCTCCTTAATTTTCAACAGAGGATCATCTCTTAAAATTTTTCGCACTTATTAAGAAACACTCTGTATAATAATAATACGTAATAAATAAATGCACAATTTCATTTACACATCTTGTATCTGTAATTTTAAATTGAAGCTTTTGGAGATTTTTATAGAAACTCATTTTTATGGATATCTATGTCGTTAACATCGAAGTGTTTGCGCGATGTCGCAAATTTGATTTCCCCTCGTTTTCGCAAGACGTGAGGGCGGATTAAATTAATCGCGACGCGACACCGAACCGCAATTTCACTCAGTTCTCCGTTATTCCCCCCCGATATTAAGGGATCCCATTGAAAGATCCTGCGTCTGGAGCGCAGCGATAGCATACAGTTAGATTAGCGAATGTTATCTATAGTTTGAACTGCGCGAGTAAGAGCTATGAAAAGTGTCGCGCTCGCGATATTGTACTGCCATGAATACTATTCAGTTGACTCGAATAGCGAGTAATCGAGTTTGCGAATGAAGATGATTGAGTTCTCTTCCGGTTTCGTTATATGCACGAGAGATCGCTGGGAATGAATGAGCGTCTATATCGAGTGATCGTAAAATGAAGTTGGCTCCATTGAAATTTCGCTATGAATACAAGTGCACATTTTGTATATGTATATTCTGTAATTATATAGTTTTGTGTGGGTGTAACTATATGTCACATATCATCCGTATATCTTCATCTTGTGCGAATGCTTTATTCGGCGCAAATGTTATGAAATATTAAATTTTCCTCGTGCTTCTTATTATTCTGTCTTATTTCTGTTCGCCGAGACAATCCTCTTATCTCCGAGATGTATTCCATAAAGTAAACTAGCTTCTTCCTTTTCTCAAAAGATAACGTTCCATAACATCTACCATTAATAATAATAAATAAGGCCGAATCGTACGTGACGGCGCACCGGCAAATGTGGATTCAATAAGAGAGGGAAGCGATAGGAAGGAGGTGTGGTAAAACGAGATTGAATATAGTCGTAACTGCCGATCTAATAGCCTCGGACAGATACATCGTGTTATATTGTGTTTTTATACGAGACGGTTCGAGAGAATTATTTGATCACAGGATGTATAAACGAGAGAGGACGCAAAAAAAAAAGACCGACGAGACAGAATTGATTCCGCTAGTACGTGTATCTATTGAATTACGTGTATAGTGAAAAGTTGTGTTATAATTTGCGGAAAAAAAGGAAAAAAAATTGCGGAAAAAAGGAAAAATTTACTATTAATCGCGCGCGTTATAACACAAGTAATTTACGAAAGGCGCACGTTGAATTGCATTATCAATTCTGCACAATTAATGAGTTAATTATGAGTTATTAATGATTCTAAGATTCTCCATCTAACAAAGTATTCGAGGTACCTGGTAGAGTAGCGCATAAATCTAAATGCATATTTGAATATTGGACTGTCAGGGATGTTCTTGGCGCACAATTGTGTCTTTCAATGGGGATTCATCGGCGACCGCGAGAACCGCAAATGGAAAATGGTCGTAAAAAGCGCTTCGAGTTTAGCTGCTCTCCACGTATTGATTGGCAGCACATTGACAAGTGCGATCCTTCCTGTATCTTGAACGTTGTGTTGCTGCTAGATAGAAGCAATTTCCAGCAGCTGAAATAATGTTTATTCCAATGTTTTATACGTTTTACCGATTGCATCGATTGACGAATCGGGAGGATTTCATCGAAATCAATTGGGAGATTTCGATGGTATCGGCATATTATTTCTTCTTTCGTTAGTTCGTTAGAAATGTGAAATTTAGTCCGATTAGCTTCGAGATACTGATCATTCTCTTTTTTTTTTGGCACAAAATATACAATGTAATGGAAACTTGAATTAATGGTTACATTTTTAACATATTTCTACATCTTAAATTTTTCTTTCAATCTTAAATTTTTTTGCTAGCGATTATTTAGAGTTTCGTCTTATATTGTTACTCGATAATTTTATATTTAAATATTCTCTTTTCTCTATAAACATTGAAATCAATTATCATACATATATGTGGATTCAGTCTCTGTTTTAAACGAGATTATTACTTTAATAAATAAGTGTAATTTTTAAAACGATAGAGACGCGAAATATTTTTTACATAAACACATATCACCATATTTAAAATGATATCAATTCTTTGAGAGATAAAGCAAGAAACAACCCACAATTAGTACGCGGATGATAATAATAATGCAAGCCCCAGCAAATGTTTTACATATACATTATAATCTCCGCACACGAAATACATTATAATTATAATTATTATCGGATAATGAAGAAAGAGTGGGGAGAACATCTTTGTCAGATTGGGCGCGCATGTGCTCTATCCTCGTAGATTTATCTGGAGCAGGACTTATCGGGCTTGTATCCAGGAAAGAGATAAAAAGTGATTCATAATATATCGCATATGTATATCGCGCATTCATGTCCAGCGCATTATACGTATTTGTATAATTAACTTCATATTGTAAGCTGTCTACATCAATTAATGGATTAATTACATGGCGAAAATAATAACATAATAATGCATATCAAGTGATATCAAGATTTTCTATTTTGATGATTATCTAGATTACTTGACGATTATTAATTTCAATTTGGAATTAAAAGGGAGAAACATAAAATAAAACGGTTGGGATTTTATAATCTATATGAAGAAGGTGGGAGAAATTGTACGCATTTTATCATAATCGTAATAAGATATCAAATGAAATGAATGGCCTAATAAATTTGATAATGCTAATAATTATAAAAATCGCACGATTCTCGTGGAAAGAGAAACAGTCAATATTATTTTTTTTATATTATTTTTTGAGGTAGATTTGTTAAATTATTAAATAGAGAGAGGAAGAAATTTCAGATAATCTTTTCACGTATATTCATATTTATAGTCGCACGTATAAATATACGGGTAAAATTATTCTTTCTCTGGTGCGTTTTTTGAATTTGATTTAATTTGAATTACAAATTATATATATTTTTAGGAATTCTCTTTTATAAGTATATTCATGTCGTTAATACCGAGATGATAATATCGGAAGCTTGTTTTCCCTCCCGTTTCCGCAAAAGCGTCGGAGCTTAAACCGCTTTGCGGGAATCCGCTTGAGCAAAACGTAGCGTGAATGTAGAGACGGGATCGACCGAAATTCAAGTAAAGACCGCATATCACGGCCAGGATTCCGTGATGATTCGATGAAATCCGATGAAATCGACTCCACTGATACGCAAAGTGATAGCGCGAACGATGCATTATCGATATTGCCGCGGTTCATTCGCCTTCCGATGATGAGATACTCGTCCATCTATTACTCGGATGCGATTAAGAAACGCGAAAGACACGAAGCGAATTGAAAACTATTTAAAATTAGCCTCCATTTATACATGACGGTGAAATAACGTCCGTCCTGGAAACCCAGTTATGATGCATTCGGCTCGAGAGTGGCTGGTCGGAGAATCCACTCCCAGTTTCTCTCCCACGTTTTGATGGACCGGATTTCCTAGAAAACGCTTGCGACGCAGCGGCTCTGTCTACGACAGGCACTTCTTGTTTGACTCCCTATTTTCGCGATTTGGGTCGTCGTCATCAGCATATTAACCAGCTTCGCTTTTGTTGCAACAGCGGGAGGTCTGCTCCGCGCGAGGGAAGAACTCGAAATGCATAATACCGGTGCTGCACAGCAGCTACGAGGATTTTCAGCGAATTTGTAGAGGCAAGATCGATCGATATCCCTCGAGTGCCTAGGTAGACTGAAGAACTCGCGACGTATACGGAGGATGCGGGTCTCTCGGCTAGCTGAAATCTCCCGGATTGTAGACTACACGTCCGCGCACGATCTCCAAGCTTTTATATTTTCGGATAATAATCGCTCCCGAGACGCCCGGATATCCGTTTCGAACGTGGTCCGAGTGATTTAAGATGCGCACGGGAATTCGCTTCGAAGAGCGTCTCGCCTCGAAGAGAGTGGTATCCGCGATGTATGGTATTCCGTCATTCGTGCCCGGAAAACTCGAGGAGATCGCATCGCGTTCTCAAGTACGCGACGGCGACGGAAGCCGAGGACGCGAGCTCGAAATTCGATTTAGCGCGACTCTCGATAACGATATCACGACTTACTGTCACGCCTTTACTTCTCGACTTTTTTTATCTTTTTTTCCCTTTTTTTTTTCGTTCTTCTGCTGCGACACTTTTCTAACGTTTCATTGCGTATCTCTATCTTCATTAAAGTCGAGGGAAGCTTATTTATTCGCGTCGCGCTAAAATACGCGCTTTATTTGTCACCCGCTGCTGTTTCAAGCCGCTTCCCGTGGTAATCTTAGCGCACACTTAATTGGACATCGCTGAGGGTGAGTGGTACAGATAGGTGCTTGTCGCAAAGTGCTGAGTTTGCCGGTAAGCTAGTCTACAATGTCACAAGCCATTTTCCCAGGTCCTATAACTTGTACACGATGCACCTCCCTCGGTGCGGTGAACGAAATCGATATCGATATTCGTCAATTTATTTCTCCGTGCGAATATTATTTTCGTTGCGATGAGAATCTTGATTTCTCTTCTCTCGACTAAAATAATACAAGCTGGATTCTTAATTGAGGGACAATTTTTTTCCTTAGAATGAAAAATGACAAAAATGTCTATTTAATCGTTTACGCACGTTTTATTGTACAATTATTACGTTTTTTATTCTATCGAATGTCAGTTGTGCGTGCTCGCAAAATTTTTTTTTATTATTAAAATCTTTTCCTGTACATATAATTAATTCCTGCACGCGCGCGATTACATATATTAATTTCCGGACTGGTGAGAGAAAGGAACAACATTCCACGTAACGTTCGCATCGCGCGTCACAGTGCGTGTCGAAGAGCCCGTCTTAGTCTACGGTCGGCGTGCTTTAATCGGCGGCGAGGGAAGACTTCCGTGAAGGTGAAACTCCGAGGAAGGGGACCAAGCGAGACGACGACGACGACGACGACTCCCTTTCGCGTTGCTGCTGCTGCTGCTGCTCGCGCGAGCGAGCCAGTCGCGCGTTTAAGGCCGTCCCGAGCCGAATCCAGTCCGCGTCGAGCCAGCAGCTTGGGCAGTCGAGTCTTCGCTCGTCGAGGTCGTCCTTGCTCGATCGTGCGCAAGTCAAAGGTGCGTCGAGAGTGCGTGAGAGTCTCGTGTCGCGCGCGCGCCAGATGCTGATCGCGATCGGGTTAATCGACGGGAAACTATGCTGGTGATCAGCGCGTTGAAGCAGGTCGCGAACGCCGCTACGAATGCGGTCCACTCGGCAACCGGTAATGTTACCGGGCACGCTCACAGCAATTCCGGTGAGTCGACTCGACCTTTTCCATCTTTGGAATCCAAACGATTCGACGATCTTTCCCCTGTTCTCGTTCATATGGCATACGCCATGAACGATCGATATTATTAATTTCGATTCTCCTCTCTGGCTTATTGTCAAACGTCGACGAGGCGAGGCTAATGTTCTCGGAGTACGCGATCATTTCTACGATGAGCTAAAATTATTCGAATACCTTTTGCAACGATCGACTGGACTCGTTTTAATGGCAGGAGGTATTAAAATTACAAGCGCGATATAAGCGACGTGTTCTCGGAACATTCAACAGATATGTTCAAGGAGATGTAACGATAAATCTGCACAACAATATCGGGGCTTCAAAACAATTAAAGCTTGCATTCCCCAATTGTATTGTAGAGTAACCACATTATATACAGGTGAAATTTAACGCATTCTCTCTCTTGCTTTTGCTCTTGCTCTTGCTCTTCCTTCTAAATCCTGCTTTTTTCTCTTACAACTATTTTTTATTTTTATTTTTTTTATTCGATCCGCGATTTGGGAAGGCATCAGCGCGCTGCACATTTGTATTCGCGCAGAAATATCGCTTGCGCAAAATGTAAAAGGTTACATGGAGGCGCGCGCGCGACCGACCTCTATAGGTTTCATAAGAACGGTACTACGGTAACTTTCTTGCCACGCCTAATGTCAAGATCGTAACGTCAATCGTATGTAGATCATTTCGCACCATCAGAAGAACTCTTGAATGCTCTAAAATACTCTTGCATTTATTAAATAAAAAAAAATCCATACACAGATTATACAAACTTTCCTCAGGGATCTTCAGCTTTGCGAACGGAATTACGCTTGAGAAATTATCACGCGATAATTTGCAAAGTAAATTATTTATGAGGAATAGATTCCCTTTTATTCTCTCGAATTATCGAGCGATCATTTATAACAATATCTCAGCTGTTAAATAAAAAAAGAGATATTCGATAATTAATCCACGAGCGAAATCGAATCGAAGATTCGTTTTTTTTATCGCGCCTGGGTAATTTTCATTATTTTCCACGTATCAAAAGTCGATTAAGAACATAGCTAGACAAATGTCAATTACTCTCGCGCGCATATTTGCTGCGCGAGGCGTAATGTGGCCATTATAGGTGACATTCACCGGCTGTATAGACGTCGACGCGTTGAGTGCTGATGGTAACGCAGTCGTTATATAGTGTGTATCGGTACAATAATGTTTCTCTTCAAATGAATACACGACAAATCTCAACTTCTAGAAAAGAATATAATCAAAGAATTATAAGGTAAAAATCAACGACGTGTATCTCTTGTATGATTATACGTTTGTTTCCTTTTCTTTTATAATTGAGCGCCGCTTGCGCATAAAAAAAAGTGATTAATCGCAATTACATTTATCAGCATACGTGTTTGTTTGCGACAATACTCTATTATCGTCTTCTTCTAGAGATAATAAACGCCAACCAAGGTTGATTCCTGAGAAAAGAAATGGGATACAAAAGCGTGACTATAAAAGTGCCGTGTGTCGAGGAATGCTGATTCCACGCGTTTTACTGTTCGGCTGAAATTTGTCGGCCTTCTTCGTCATTAGCACTGTTTGGTAATCTTGGTTCGGTTTGTCACTAACCGACCGGCCGCGGATCGAGAAACCGAGTGAGTGGGATGTACATCGTTCGATGACCTCGCGAGCGAGAGGCGAATCGCTCTTCTCTGATGTTTTCACCAATACCTTAGAAAGTTTCTCGACATCGCTCGTCGTAAAATACGTGCGTAGCCTTGAAAATCGCTCGTGCGCCGCGGTACATATTTGTCTCATCTGTCAAACTCAATCGAACGGAGTATTTGCCTCGGATATTTCGCTCGCGACTCGTCATCGACGTGAAAAGCCATATGCGAAAAGTTCTTCCGTGATTGACGCGGATTTCGCGAAATCTTTGAAAACCTTTAAATTTGCGAACGAGACCTTGAGATTCGTATATGAGTTTCCTCGTCTCCTCTCTTTCCCCGCGAGGGAAATAAATGTCGTTCTGAAAAAGGATACTTACGTTTATAAATATTAATAACGCACACGTGTGATAATATGTAATGAGAATGTTACGCATGTATTTTAAGAAATATTATTTCGAGAAAAAATGGATTATTATTCCGGAAATTACTCGGATTATTTGTGTTTCAGGACGCTCGACGTTCTTATACAACCCGCACGATATTTTTCTACCGTTTCACTCCACTTTCCGCGATCGCCTCACTGTCCTGGGTGCTCACTGGACTATTACGTACTTTCTACTGCTCGTTACAGATAATCAGTGGCGAACAACAACCTGCCATCCGCAATGCAAGCGGTTTGTTAAAATGGATTTGCAATTATAAGGACTGTAATTAATACGAGATATTTAATACGAATTTTAATTAAAGCGTCAATTCAGGCGGTTCGGAGAAAAAAGTTTTAAAAATTCAGCATTGATAGAGATATTCTCTCTATTTTTTTTATTGCTCCCTAAGGAGAGAAATGCAAATAGTACGCAAAATTCACCTCTGTCATTGTATTCCACGAATTTAAAGTCTCCGTCTGTCGTCAACTTTGACATCTGATCCCTTCCGAGAATGCAACCGTGGGTATTTCTCGTCTCGGTAGCAGGGATATCAATGTCAAAAGTCGCGCTCCGCTATCTAATCGCGTCCCCTTGACAGAGTACAAAACCGTAGAACTCGACGGTTTTGTTCGTAGTTGCTGCATCGTTCATACCGAAATAGATCTACTCGATCATGTTGCAATCTCTTCTGCTTTTCTCGCAAATTATCCTGATACTCTCGGCGAGAGTCTCGTCGCAGAAAAAGGAACCGACTTGTCAGGACACGGATGGTTATAACGTTTGTCACTACAAAGGAATACTCGTCGAGGTTACGCAACGTCGTTTCGAGGATCGATTGAGTATAAGCGACCTGGATCTTTTGGCGATTCGCGAGGATGCCTTCAAGAATCTGACAGCGACTCACTTATATCTGAATCAGAACAATCGAATATCCGTGCTAAAGAGAGGATCCTTTCGTGGTCTGCCAAAATTGGAGCGTCTCCATTTAGACGACAACGTGGTGTCATTGTCGGAGAACTTGTTCGCGGAATTGGGACACTTGCAGTCGCTGTCGCTGATCTTCAATAGGATCAATTCGATACCGAAGGATTCGTTTGCCGGTCTATCGAGCTTAATGTGGTTGTACCTGGGTCAGAACGACATCCCGGCAATCGAGGCGGAATCCTTCTCGAATCTGAACCCTGGACTGCTGTACCTGTGGCTCAACAACAATAAAATCGCCCATGTGGCCCCGGGATCCTTCGCCGGGTTAACCGAACTGAATCGCCTCCATTTGGACTATAATCAGCTGGAGAGCTTGCCGAGCGGTGCATTTCGAGGATTGAGCAAGTTGGAAGATCTCTTCCTAAATAACAATCAGATAACAAGCATCTCCGAAGCGCTTCTTCGTGACCTAGTCGGTCTGAAGAGACTCTATCTTCAACGGAACGAGATCAGCACCCTCGCACCAGGAACGTTTCAGGGGCTGTTACAGCTGGAGCAACTGCGATTGGATGGAAACAAACTGTCTCGCATTGCAGTGGGTACTTTTGTAGGTCTCTCCAAGTTGGAAGATCTCAATCTGTCCGATAATAACATCCACACGATAGATAATGGCGCTTTCGCTGATGTCGTCGAATTGCGGATCCTCCACTTGAGCGGCAACAACGTCACCGAAATCGATAAGAAGATCAGCGGACTCCCATCTGAGGTTACTGTCATCCAGGCGCTTTAAGGATTTGTTTGCATCTCGACGTAGAATCCCTTTGCGGCTTTGAGAAAGGAAATAAGTTCTCATCTTATTTTTATGATCGCAATCTCGTGTCTTATACACGGGATATTAATACGCGATTTTTATACTTATATGTTATATCGAGAAAATAAATCAAGTTAATAAAATCCAGTTCAACTGTACAATAAATCAAATAAGCGTCCGAAAGTGGCGATTTTTTTTTCGTAGCCTTTTGAAGCGTGTCTTATTGGAAATCGTATAAGGGGGAAAAAAGAAATGAAATTGTATATTGTGCATTGTACCGAGAGACGTCTCCTCACCTAACAATATATATCACGTCATATATTTGAATCAATGCTAAGATTCAATATCGCGATGTCGCTATTTCAGACGTGAGATTTACCTTATACGTCTCTCCTTTTCTTAAGGTTCTTTCCTACTTATTGAATTTTTGCGAGAGTCAGAATATTTTCGGAGATGCACCGAAAGTAGAGGACTTCGTCGCCTCCGGCGGATTTTGTTACGCTCTTTTCACGTCGCGAGCCTTGTGTCCCGGCGAGACTTTCATTACCGAGATTTCCTTCTTGAGATTCTTCTGACGTCCCTCGGAAAAGCATCTCTATGAATACCGACGTGCGACGTATACGTTTACCTTATATTGAAAAACTGTACTCGCGTAAGAAATTTTGATTCCCGAAAGATTATTGTGTAGAAGTTGAACAAACGAAAAAAAATCATTTATTCGATCAACCTTATAGTTTCTATTTTCTCGCGAGATAATCCGAGAATATAATTTGAAGAAGAAAATCTCGGTAGAGAAAATTAAAGTATAATATACCGACTCTCACTGGTACCGAGAGTAGTACGCGTGTTTTTCTCGCGGTGAGTTTCTCTCTCTCGTATTTTTTTTTTCTTTTTTTAATTCCCCGTCCGGTCGTATAGCTTTTCGTTTGTCGGGAAATTTTTCCCAAAGGGCAGGAAACCACTCGAGCATGGCGAAGATACTTCTCGGATATTTTCCGCAAAAAAACTTTCAGGCGAAAATCTCTTTACCGCGTTGCCAGGATTGCCTCTAGTAATGAAACTCGACGGAAAGAAGGATGTCAAGAAAAAGAGAGATACTGGAGGAACGGACATTACATAAAGAAAAAAAATAAATTAAAATATGGATGTTGCGATGTGTGAGAGAGAGATTTGCTACCGCATTTAAATGATAATATAGAACCATGAGAGCTGCGCGCTTGGAGAAATCGTGCCGTGGAAATGGATCGCCTACGAACTTTGTGAATTGAAAATCGAAAACATTAATTTCCGCATTTTTCCGCATCCTACGTCTCGAGATTTCGGTGCGTGCGCTTGCCGCGTGGATGTGACGGAAGCAGACGCTGCGTGCACGCGACGAGCGTGCACGTGCGAACGGTGTTGAAGAGATGCTGAGGAGAGGGGATGTAGGAGGTTTGAGGTCGCATTGATTTTGTCTAGACAGGGTGGAGACTGCTCTCTCGTAGTGTCGTCCTTCGCATCCACGGTTTGGTATGCTTGGTCGTCCCGGCGTGGTACACTTGTCAATCGGGATGTTCCGTTTAGTACTCATTGATCGTTGCATCGCGAAGAGCAAGCGTCGCTGTCGGGTCCTCCGTCCGGTGAAATTAAGCGATGATCAGCGCTTAACAGAATAAAAGATAGTAATTATTTAATCACCACGTGTCGCGCGGGTGTGCGTTTTTATTAGATTAAATTATTCGAAATTGTTCTGCCTCATTGCAAATATACTTTAGCAAATATGACAATTATCAAATTATTCCCAAAATAATTCCAACGTATCGACATTGAAAAATATTTAATTTTTCTCTATTAATCTTGATCTTTTTTTTTTTTTTTTATAGGAACACCCTCGACTCCGATAATGCCAGGCGGTACACCTGGTACACCATCCTCTAAAACAAAAGTAAGTTCATTTTTATTGAAGTAAATATTAAAACATTATCTAACTTTGACATTTTATATCTAGTATTTTTAAAAAATTTTTTATTTTACAGGAAAAGATAATGTTGCGAGCGAAAGTTGTAGTAGCTCTGTATCCCTTCCGAGCCATCGAAGGTGGTGATTTGTCTCTCGAAAAGGTAAAAATAAAAAGAATTCAATATAATAAATATATACAAAATAATATAAATTATAATATTGTATATATAACATGTCATACATATATAACGTTATGCCATTAAATATTTACTAACGATGTATTTCTGCTGCAAACAATGTAGGGTGCGGAGTACGAAGTCTTGGACGATTCCCAGGAGCACTGGTGGAAAGTTAAGGATGAGAATGGGTATATAATTTTTCTGTTTGAAACAACTACACAAGCATCGTTTACGAACTACTTTACCAACTTCTTTTTTTACGACCGACGACTTAACTTGCGCGACACAACTTACATTTTATCTCACACATATACGATAGCGGCAATCAAAACCGGCAATCGTGAAAAATAATCAGTTACAGCATACAGTTCTCGCAAACAATAATCTCAGCGATGTTCTTTCGTATAATCAGTGATAATTATTCATGATAGCCGGATTGTTTGCTTATGCGGTAAAGAACGCGCGTAAAGTGCGGCGTTAGCGAGGAACGGTTTGTACAAAGTCATTTAATTGCAGATCGATCGGCTATATTCCTAGCAATTACGTCAAAGAAAAGGAACTATTGGGACTGCAGAAATATGAGTGAGTTTAATATATATATTTTTCGGCGAACCACAGAGGTCGATAGTCGTGTCTAGTTCAATAAAGCTCTGTTGCTATTCCCATTTTTCCCCAAGTTATCGAACAACCAAATTTTCTATCGAAATACTTCTCGATAGAAGTTTCACATAAATCGTAAGATGTTCGTATGTGATAAAAGTAAAAAAATGACTGTTCCGTTTGCGCTGTCGTAGATGGTACGTAGGTGATATGTCAAGACAACGCGCCGAGTCGTTGCTGAAGCAGGAAGATAAGGAGGGTTGTTTTGTCGTCCGTAATTCCTCGACTAAAGGGCTATATACCCTCTCCCTTTATACGAAAGTGTAAGTCAACAGATTTACAATATTTTAGTAATCATCGATCGATTAAATATAGATTTGATTGATTGCTGAATGACTTTCAATTTTAAATCATTTCCTGCTTTTTATTTTCTTCTCTTTGGCTTTTTTCTATAATCTAAGATTTTTCGTTTTGTCACAGGCCACATCCCCACGTGAAGCATTACCACATCAAACAGAATACTCGCGGCGAATTTTACTTGTCGGAAAAACATTGCTGCGGTTCCATTCCCGACCTGGTGAATTATCATAGACATAATAGCGGCGGTCTGGCCAGTCGGCTGAAGACTAGTCCTTGTGATCGTCCTGTACCACCAACCGCCGGCCTTAGTCACGGTTTGTAAAATTATTTTTTTTAATCTCTTTTTTTTTAAACGATATAAAGAAAAATAGAGATGTGTAAAAAAAAACTCTTCCCTCGGCTATTCTGTGTCACTTAACGGCGACTCTTTTGCAGACAAATGGGAGATCGACCCGGCGGAATTGCATTTGCTAGAAGAACTCGGATCTGGTCAATTTGGAGTCGTGCGAAGAGGTAAGTGGCGCGGCACCATCGACGTTGCCGTGAAGATGATGAAAGAGGGAACCATGTCCGAGGACGACTTTATAGAAGAAGCTAAAGTAATGACGTAAGTTTCAACCTACTTTTCTTTACGTTACGCCGAAACTTTTGATAGAGATCCTTTAAGTTGAATCTCTATAAATATATTTTATTACAACTTTACTTCTCTCCTGAAAATTTAATATTAAATATTGTATGTGTATTTTTTATAATATTAAATTAATATTATTTATATTTTTATTTTTTGTATGTAGAAAACTGCAACATCAAAACCTAGTCCAGCTGTATGGTGTCTGCAGTAAAGATAGACCAATATACATTGTCACGGAATACATGCGACATGGATCTCTTCTCAACTACCTCCGCCGTCACGAAACCTCATTAGGTGCAAATGTTGGCCTCTTATTAGACATGTGTATACAGGTAATACAAGTTTTACTCAGTAGATGATAAGATATACCGACATAATTAAGAAATAACACATTAATCAAATTTTTTTTACGTCTGTATTATAGGTTTGCAAAGGGATGGCATATTTAGAGAGGCATAACTACATACACAGAGATCTTGCTGCACGTAATTGTCTAGTGGGATCAGAAAACGTAGTAAAAGTTGCAGATTTCGGTTTAGCTAGGTAAGAATTATTTTATTATCTTCATATTTCAGATAATTAAAAAAATCTTAACTTAAAAGATATATAAGTAAATTGCAAAATTTAACTGATCAAACAATTACTCCTAGGTATGTACTTGATGATCAGTATACCAGTAGCGGTGGCACCAAATTTCCCATTAAATGGGCACCGCCAGAAGTGTTGAATTATACGCGCTTCAGTTCGAAGTCGGATGTGTGGGCATACGGAGTACTCATGTGGGAAGTATTCACATGTGGCAAAATGCCTTACGGCCGCCTAAAGAATACGGAAGTTGTTGAGCGGGTACAGCGTGGAATTATTCTGGAACGACCTAAAGCATGTTTTAAGGAAGTATACGAGGTAACTTACCATTATTTCTTCGCATTTCCGAATTCAATTATCTTGAATCAATCTAAATTTACGGATTCAATGAATATCAGGTAATGCGCAAATGTTGGGCACACTGTCCGGAAGTGCGACCGTCTTTCCGCGTCTTGAAGGAACAGCTGATCAGCGTTTCTCAAGGGCTGGTCAACGATTGACTCAACCTTCTGCGGTGTATGCGCCTGTCTTCGCCCTCCTGCCGCACAATCCGACCGACGGCGAAATCGTCACCGTCGTCGGAACGATCGTCCTCCACCGGTCTACCGTCGTCGAATCTATCGTATAATTCAGCAACATTGCCGTCGTCACGCAAGATCCGCGCGCCGGCCTCTCCCCCGTCGCCTTCCATGATCGATTTCACTCGTCGTTTCTCGTCGATCACGTGCAAATCAAAAGGAGAGGGCTCCTCGTCGCCGAATACACCCGGGCATCAAGCTAGTCAACAAAAACCATCCTCAAGCTCGACTAACAACGTGTGCGACGTTTGCAGTTCCTACGGGCATCCGTGGATCGAAATATGCAAGGCGATACGAGCCACTAAAGGTAAATGAGTGAATGTGTATGCGCGTGTGTGTAATTAAGTTTACACTATTCTATATCGCGCTGTTAGAGAACCGCCGTAATACGGAGATGTGTTCTAAACCTCCTTCTCCTTTTTCTCCTTCCCGCGCGTAAACGTAACGTTCCTCTCCTTCGTCTACCTTTCCCTCGTTCCCTCCCCGTACATCTCCGAACACTTCGAACGGATGTTCCGGATGTTACACGACTTTATCCAACATTAGGATGCGTGATATTGTGTGTGTTTCACATACTATTTTTCCCATATAATTTTTAGACTTTACTCTGTATCATCATAAATACATTTATAAATAGAACAATAGTATTTATTGATGGCCTTTTGCAACAAATGCAATATATACAACTTGTGATTCCGCCTAGAATATGTCATTTTTTTATTATTATCATTTTGACGAACAGTGACATAACTATGAGAATCAGAGATACTGTTTTTTGCTTAATAAACTGATTTAATAAATTAAATTTGTCTACATCTGCATCACATATTACACTCACTTATTAAAAGCAAGAAAAAAGAAGGAGAGAAAAAGAGTGGATACTATAAGAAAAAAAGCTTTTATTCTAAAGAATTGCATCAATTCTTATGTGGAGTTAGTGGACAGTTGTATATAAATGGTAAGTAATATACAAGTATACAAGTAATTTACGACACAAACATAAATCTACAACATTGAAAAATAAATTAATTCTCTCTCATTAAAAGTTTCGTTTTAAATTTCTAAATATCTCACACAAAATATTAAAATAATTAAAAATAACATATAAATAACAACAAAATTAATTAATTTAAAATATATTTTACATATCGATAAATTGTAAAAAAATACGTGTTAGCCTGGTTTTAAAAATCTATGTTTCAAGGTTTCTCGGACAAGGTAGGGATAAAAATTCTTACAAGAGTGCATCGCATAGGTCGCGTTTATTAAAACTGCTTTGAATTCATCTACAAACTTTCTTCGATATAAATTCAAGAAGTTCTTTTTTATGTGCGTCGACCCAACGTAAAAAGCGAATTTATCGTACAAATATTGATCTTCCAAGGAAAAGCAACACTGGTATCATAAAAGTAAAAAAAAAAAATAATAAGTACTTCTATATAATAATTTCTATATAATTAAACTACGTTTTGTTTTTAGACAATATAAACTATAAGTGTAACAGGTGTTATTCACACTTATGCACGCAGTTGTAGCAAAAAGACATTGGGAATGCAGATATTGTGTCAAGTCTTTTCTATATGGGATTTTCCGTTTCCCTTCCTTCTGATTCCTAGAAGAAAGATAGAAAGGATCGTACAATTGCAATCACATTGTTGTGCTAAAAGATCATCTGTGACATTTTTGATATATTTGAGAGAATTGTGGACATAACGATTTTCTTAATTATTGACGATAATTTCTTGAAATACATTAAGTACATTCCACAAATTGTACTAAACATCCACAAATTGTATTAAACATCCACAAATTGTATTAAACATCCACAAATTGTATTAAACATCCACAAATTGTACTAAACATACACAAATTGTACTAAACATTCTCCAAAGTTAATTACTACATACGTACGGAACCTACGGGATACAGAAATGTAGATACACTCTTCTCCGTATATCCTGATTGCACCTTGCATATATATTCACCCATGTCGTCCCATTCAAGATCCGTTATCTGCAGATCGCCATTAGCAAGAATGGTGTGTCTCGCGTGTGTGGCCGGACTAATGGTGTTGCCCAAGTTATCTATCCAAAATAGATAAGGCGCCGGTTGACCAACGGCTCTACACGGAAGAATCACTGTGTTTTGTTCAAGAGCAAATCTCCAGGAAGAATGTAAGGTGATGGTGGGTTGGCTTTCGCTGCTGCATGCGGTTGCTTTAGTTGCTAGTGAACAATAAGATGATATTAGAATTATTGTTTTGATGATATTTTTTCGATCTATTTATATGTACGAAGGCGCGAAATATCTCGCCCGTTTACACTCACTATTAACCAAGAGTACCGTCGCTGCCGATTGGACCACTTTTTTTTTAGACACGGATACACAGTATTTTAAACCTTGATCTTCAGGTCTGACGCAATCGATCACGTACGTCGAGGAGACTTGACTGACCCCCTCCCATTCCGGCGACACGACATTACTCGCTTCTTGGGCCCGCGTGATCAATTCCTGAATCTGCCAAATCACATTTACAAGTATAAGAGGGACATTATTGTGTAATAATTTATCATAAATTTTCGAGAATTTCTCAAGTGAGAAATATAAATAGCGAGAGACCGACCTGCCTTTCCGGTTCATTTCCGGTTATCCAGTAAACTTGGGGCGGTGGATTTCCAGCTGCCTCGCATTGCAATTCGACACGACTCCTGAAATAAATATCAATTCAATGAGCGATTATGTTACTTTTATATTTTAGTCGTTATGTACAAAACATATGTATATTTACCCGACGGCGGCTTCCAAGTAATCTGGCGGATTCTGTAAAATCCTGGTCCAAGTCGATGTAAAGCCGTTCTAAAATGAAGACTACTATTGTAGAGAGGAGCACACACGCAAGAAAGAGAGAGTATCCGACTGGATCTCATGCATTTCAAATAGCTGAGAAATTGTGTAGGAGATTAGCAAAATAGTAAATGAAAAGAAATTTTATAAATGTATTAAAACTTTTAGCTCATTAAATGTTCATCGATATGATATACACCTTTTTCTCGCCGGATGGCTTAATATCATTTTTCAGTCTATTCGCTGCGCTGGACTGGTCAACATTTGCCCGCGTGTACGATGTATTCGTCAATAGTAGGAATGTCAAAGGACTACCGAGGGTTACACCGAACACGGCGACGATCACCAGAAGGTGCGCGAAGTTTGAGAGATACAACCGCATCTGGAAAAAGAATACATCAATGATGAAAAGAGATCAGTACGTCAGATTTACCTTCAAGAGAGGAAAGCACGAAATGTTGCCCCACGAGAATTTCCTTGAGATAATAAATAAGATAATAGACAACATTATGTTTGCGTGATTTTAAAATAATGCCGTGTTTATTTTCATGGTGGTAACACACGCGCCAAGTTAGTGAAATTTCACCGGGTAAGTAGGTGATGGAATGTAAAAAACTACTTTATGCTAAACGAACATTCGTACATGCAATCTGCTATACACGTGTCGTTTGTATTTTCGTGCGCGTGCCGATATAGCTCCCTCGCTAAATGCACTTTTCTTAAACTTGGCTCTTTTCTTCAAAATTTTGAATTGACCTCTTTCCAAAGTCAGAGCCAAGAATATTATTTTCGTTTATTCATGATTATAATATGATTCGTTTTTGCACTTGTAACTTAGTTTTCGAACGAGTTTTATACTTTTTCAATCTCTCCAAGATTGTAAGTACACCGACGCGTTTTGATAAAGAAAAAATTGACTGAAAAGTGCGCTTAGCGACGGGGAACACTCTGTATATATGATGCAAACACGTAACGATTAATTTACATTGATTAGGGAGCCGTTTTAATGTGTCTCGTGTGCCACCCACAGCGGTTAAAAAAAAGTACGTGAGCGTGAGCACGTCAGATGCGGTGGATGCGTTATTTTGTCTTGTTGCATCAGCCGTTTTGACTCGGATTGGTTTGCCTTAGCCGCCTCTCGAGATGGAGAGGGAAAACGGACCGGGACGAAAGACACGTGCGAGAAAGGCACGCTTCTCGATGTGGATGCTTTAATTTTTTGTCGAGACTCTCACGGTTTAACGCGCAGTTTTATTCACAAAATTCGTAAGTTTTACTAGAATATACACCGTTCGAAATAATTGAAGGAATGTGATTTTTTCAAGAATTTTCCAAATAAACTTGCAAATGTTGATGATTTACTTAAACTTAAAAACATATTAAAATTTTCATTTATATATATATGGACACGAAGATCATTCATCAAGAGAAGTATTAGTGAACTACTGAATCATACGCATATTAGACAAAGTATTTTATTAATTAATTGTTTCGAGCGATATAGTAAAAGATACATATTACATTTTGTATAATAAATTCATGTATGTATATATAAAAAAATAATTTTTATTAGATACTCGCGATGGATCCCTCCTTCTCTTTCTCTCTCTGAATTTAAGTGGAATGTCAAAGTCATGCGTGACTTACCGTGCGTGTAACGCTGCGATTTTCCGAATAACTCTGTTCGAGGGAGATTCGAAAAAAAGGAAAAAGAAGACAAGCACCCGCAGTTTATCACCGACGAATCGAGGAGGCCGACTGAACGATGGTATAACAGTTATTGGTCCATTTATATATTTCGAATGTAACAGCGGGCGCCCTTCCCTTTTCCCGATTGGCCGTTATTACCAGGAGTAGGGCGATAATACCACCGGCAAACAATCGAATTCATTATCTGCACGGGTCGTTTGTATCCGCGTAATAGACATCTCCCCAATTTGTTTTCACCCTCGTCTATGGTCCATCGATTTTTATATCTCAAAAGAACGACACGATAATTACTTTTATTGAAAGCGATCATGTATCAGGAAAAGAGAAGATGACTCCAATTATCTATCAGCTCTCAATATCGTGTATAGAAATTATATATATATATATATATATATATATATATATATATATATATATCCTATATTTCATAGCTCTTTTCTCTCTTTCTCTTAATTGTCCGTTTTTTTTTCTTCAAGAGCGGTCAGCAAGATTTCGACAAGCTTTGACCCCGCGAGCTAACTTTAATTATTTAAGAGAAGACAATTCTCGTCCCCGAGATAAAAATATGACATCATCTCGACTCTCTATAGAAGATTCTCACTGAATTAATTAACGCCAAATATCGAAAATTTCTCGATTGAACATAATATATTAACGTATATAAGTGTCACATTTATTACTTTTATTAAGATCCGATCAATCAATTGTATCCTCCATTATATTAATGCGATAATATTTCGTCGTTTCTGTGGAATTTATCTTATCCGCGAATCCGATCCGAAATATGCGGTCAATCATGAAGAGGAAGTTTCAAGAAAAAGTGTGTGTCCGCATTAAAATAGCTGTGCCATCAAATTTGAATTTCGTCAGCGGTTTGGAGGTTGTCACCTCAAAATTACGCTTCTCGTAAAAATACCTAAAAGATGTTAGATCACACTCGACGGTAATAAAGATTGAATTGCTGACTCATAATTAATACGTAATAGTATTTAGAGTGTATTTTAAAATCCCTCACTTTGGATATGTGTGCGTGTTGTTTTCAAAATAATTATTTTTTTTTCTCTCTCAGAAATGCTAACTCTTTGTGTGAGAAATTACAAGAAATATTGACATAAATCTTTCATGCTACACGCATTTTGAAACGAAATATCTCTTCGCTTGAAGAGCCCAATGTGTAGAAGTTAACGATGTAGAACAATAAATGTGCGTTCGTTAGAATCCATTAAATGAAGAACGAGCAAATAACTTATTGTGTCTGCATTATATGTATGTGCGTTCACAGTAATATTTTCTCAAATATTAATATCCCTTGTACAAGAATGAGTTACATTCTTGTATTCTTTGTGAAGTATTCTTATTTATTATTTTATAAATAAAAATAAGTAAATAAATATATATATATATATATATATACATTTATTTATTTATTATTTATTTATTTCGTGTCAAAAATTTGTCAAAAATTGTACAAATGTTTTTTTATAAAAAACTATTCAAAATTTCTCGAATACAGATATCTATCCAGGAATTGCATTAAGTAGTCCATATATGTATATGTATATATAATAAAAATAATATTGATAATCGAGAAATTTTGAACAGTTTTTATATAAAGAAAACATTTGTTGTACAATTTTTGACACAAAAATCCATATTTTTTATATTCAAAATTGAAAATTTAAATAATTAAACATAATTAAATAGCAATAACTTTAATCTTTTAATATATATATATATATATATATATATATATATATATATAATAAAAATTTATATACATATAATCTGGTGATCTGAAAACAAAAAAAAGGTTTCAGAAATAAAATATAAAATTATTAGTTTACTAAAACTAACAAGAAACGATGAAATCTTAAAAGAAATAAATAAAATATAAAAATATAAAAATCGAGAAATATAAATATATAATATTCTTTTTCAATATAAATTAATTTGATATTGATAAATAATAAAATAAATATGTAATTTCAAAGTGTTCTCAACTTTTCAATCTTTACTCTCTTTCCTCCCAAGATAAAAATATAATATAAAATTAAGTTATAAGGTATTATAATAATCAAGATTGATTTCTATCGAGTGCAGTCATATTTTCAAAAATATTTTTAATATATTAATATATGCTAATCATTATTCGATTTGTGTTTATATGCTGTATCTTAATGATAGGACAAAAATGTGCTGTAATTAAGTATTAATATTGAAAAAGAAACTCGATATAAATCATAATTAAGTTCTATAACACAATTTATAGTATCTGTTTTGCGTTATCTTTTATTATTAAAAAGAATGTGATGATTTTTCCGTTTATTGGAAAATTTATAGGATAATAATGGCTTCAATCATGCTTTATAATAACCCTTCGAGATAATCAAATTAAATTATGATCAAGTTCAATCATATTGGCATTTGTTAGGACTTTTAGTTTGAAAACGAACACATCATTATATATTATAGAACTAATAAAGTCACGCGATATTTTTTATAACATAATTGACATTTTTTTTGAAGCGTGTTTTATTTGGAAAGAAGAGAGAGAGCTATTTCTACTATTAAGTGCACTCAAGGATATTGAATGCAGTTATGAAAATAAAATATAATTCAAAGTAAAAATAAAAAATAAAGTGAGTAATAATATGATTTGATTACTGCACTTGGCTCTCAACCAGCTTGTTTTTATGGCTATTTAATATTAATGTCTTCCACTTGGTTTTTAATAAAAAGTAAATCTCAAAAAGTTTAATTAATATAAGGCTGCATTTGTATATAATGTGATACTTTTTTAGATTGTGAACAGAAATTCTTATAAATATATTTTAAGTATATAAAATGTACATAATAAGGCCATGAAATAAGAAATACATAATGAGAATACTTCTTGAAACAGATTTTATATATATATATATAATTTCTTAACATTTTATATATATATAATTTGTTAACATTTTTATTAAAAAAAATATATATATATTATATGTAAAATATATCTGTATCAACATGACAAATGTATAAAGTTAAAACTTAAATTGCAGTGTACTTTTTAATATTATGCGAAATCGAGTTCAACAAGCAATATATAATTAACAAATTCTGAAAATACAGATTGTCTTAATTTCAATATTATCGAAAAGAAATATCAAATAACTTTTGCACGTAAATCGGTAATCTTATTAACACAAAGAGTGTGATATAGATATTGCCTTATTTTCAACTGAGGTAATCTGAGGTAACTGAGGATCTTTGATTAACAATAAATTTATATATGCTAATACAATCACTTCGCATTGGAAATAATGGAAAGAATATGAATAAAGTATTATTAAGTTGGACAATCGTAAAGTATAATAATGCTGAGATCCTGTAACAACTTATGGTATTGATGAACATTTTTCACATTATTGATTCTATCTTCACTAGTCTCAAGCGCTGCTGTAAAAGATTCTCTTCTGCTTTCAATTGATATTTGGAAATAAGTGATTTTACCGTCGACCTAAAAGTATTTGAATTATCTTACGGAACATTGCAAATATAACATGATATACTTACAGGTCTAAACACAATTGCGTAAGATGCTGTGGCATACAATATCGCGCGTGAGGAGAGAGATCCAGAAACGGATCGTTCACATTTGCCGTGCTTTCCAACCCTTCAAATCTATACAAATAAAGCAAAATTTAATAAAAAATAATATAGCATGAATTATGATATAATCGAGAAAAAAAATGTTCATCTTCACGAGAATAATTGTTTATTTATTATGAACCTCACCTCACGACGAAATGCCTGCGATATTGATGCACATCATTTGTATTTCGTTTTGCTAATTCAAGCACAACAGGAAATGCCACATCGCGAAAATCACCTATTTCATGATATTTACAGAGTTTATTCAGACCTGAATCGCTTTCCCTTGATATAACGATGGATCTTGTTGTCGGTGTATCTATCCAAACAACACGACATTTACCATTAAATAATTGGGTAAACCATGCAACTGGACCAATTTTAGCTACGTTGTTCCATTCAGCTTCATCATACCAGTCATATACCTTCAAAAGCAACAGTTATTGAAAACATCCTTAACAGATTACATTATATAAATTTTAATCAAGGTAATTTTTTAAATTGTAAAAATTTTGATTGATATACATGATATTATAGATATTATGTAGGATATATTGACAATCTATATGATAAAAAACTTACAGAACAGGAGCATATTTTGGCAAGAGTTTCGCGAAAATCTTTCATCAATGCCATAAAAGATATAGAATTTTTAGTATAAACAAGAACAATATCATCGCAGGAAAGATTATCGTGATCGATTTCCTTTTCGTTGTTGTCAATGATATTGAGATCGGTGGATTCGAAACAAGCAGAGTTCAGAAAATCATCGTGCTGTGGATTAACATATAAAGTGATCTCTTTCTTTCGAATACAAAGGTGCCAGAAACATAATATTCCAATTATTGTCGATATGATCAATACAATGGCGATAATCGGCAACAGTAGATACAAGTTTGCGCCTTGCGATTTATCCGATATTATTATCTCACTATTATTCTTGTTATATAGTGAAACATTCGCGCAACCTGAAAACATTATTTGCAATATGGTTAATTAAAATTAAAATTAAAAATATTTGTAAATTATAATATAAGCTCTATATAAAATACAAAATATTTTTTCTGATGTACTAGATGGCAAAGTAGGTACACACATAAAAAATATTATCTCTTCAATTAATTTTAACTTCTTTGTAATATTATATTTTTTATCCCCAATTTGTACTTACGTTTTATCCATGTACAAGGCATATCTGCATTTACATTCTGTGGCTTCCAAATAGTATCTTTATGGCATCGATCATCTATTATATAAAATACAAAACAGTAATCTGCAGTTTTTGTAGTTTGTATTCGAAAATTGCATTGTATAGTCTTTATATGTTCTCCATTCACTGTTTGCGTCTATTTAATCAAAATTTTGTTCAATGTAACACTTATATACACACAGAGATATAAGTATGTAAAAATAGATAGGGAATTTGAATTTTTATTAAAATACCTTATATATATTGCAATCTAAGAGTAATTAAAAGAGATAATATTTACCAATTGTATACTGCAATTGTTTGTCTTAACATTATGATCCTGTAAAAAAAAATAAAATAAAAAATTAAATTTGTATGTTAGCTGCAAAAAGAAAGATGCATACATCTTTCTTAATAACTAAATATTACAAGCTCAATTATCCGCGAAAATAATAGTGGTTCCTTCTGCCAGACACATCCTTTCCCTGAATTTTTATTCCCTGGTGATATCAATACTACTTCAAGAAAATTCCCTGTATGTACTGGTAGTGAAGTATCTAATGTAAACTTTGTTAATTCATGTCTGTAATATATAAACATCCTGTTTTATATTTTAATTTTTTTATATCAATTCAATATATCAATTTTCTACAAATAAACTATTTTTATTACTTATTCTCTGAAATTAAACATACATTTATACATAACAATTATTATTACTATACCTTTCATTAGGATTATAATACGTCTCATATTTACAAATAAACTGTGGTTCCATTACTTCTGTACGTTGATAAGTAGTGTTTAAGAATTTGTGGCCCCTTATTACATATTTTTTACCACCTATGTGAAATTGAAGTGCATAACATCCTGCAAAAATATGTTGAAACCACAACCCGCTAATATTATTCTGAAATATTAATATTAATTTTATTTATAATTTTTAAATAGATTTGTTTTTTATTAATGTGTGTATGTTATACAATATATGTGTGTATATAAATATACAGACAAAAAAAATTAATCTCTTTTCAAATATATTATTCTTGTATATATACAAACTACAGTACTAATGTACATTTATATAAATATTAACAATACTCTTGTATATTTACAAGATTATTTTGCAAAATTTAATATTAAACATTAATTACATATATAATATCTATATATAAACATATGAGTCATTCAGATGTTAAGCGACACAAATTTAAAAAACAAAACTTTGAGAAGTAAAGATTTTTGCATTTGTTTTTAACTTAAAAATAACTTATCTGAAATCTGATTGATCTTGAAAACAAATTCAAAAGTAAAAAAATAAATACAGAAGTAATTAGATTGATGATAGATTGCATTATTTGTACTCTAAATCTGCTAATAACTTGAAATCAAGTTTGGACTTATACCATTTAACATCTAAACTCATATATATATATAGGTCTTAATATTGTTTATTACCTCACATAAGGATGTTGAATTATCATTATATTGTACAAGATTAGTATTCCTAAGAAAACATACGGCTATCGCTTTACTATGTACATTTGCAGTGTCACCCACTCCGAAGTTATACTCTTCACACTCTCTTTCATTCTTAATTGAAGGATTAACTAATAAGGCTATTTCTGATACACATTTTCTTTTGGGATGTGCAAACTGAATTTTAACAGAATCTTAGATAAAAAGAAAGATGTATGATTAATAGATATAATTAGTTGTTTTGTTAATCAATTATTCGATATCAAAATAGTATACCAGTTAAGGTCCCATCAATTCCGCTACTCCTTACACCAAAGTGAATATTGTCAGGAATATCTTCAGCGGTACAATAATTAAAAACTGATGGTTCGTGATCGTTTTGAATTACACTATAACTATTTACATCTCCACATTTTTGTTCAAACTTATACTGAAAAATAAAATAAAATATATATATGTGTGTGTGTGTGTGTGTATGTAACATGCATATAATGATACTTTATTATATATTTCTCGTCAAAAAGGACACTTATCCATTATCGTCCAAATAAACAAGTTAAAATTGTATAAAGTATTACAGCATTACGTATTATTCTCGAGATAAACAAGTCTGTCATACGACTCACAATGCACGATTTTTCATCCAAGGCAGATCCATCTGCTTGCGTAAAAATAAATAAGAGAAGGGCGATCCATTGTCCGCTGTACATTGTCTACTTTTATCTTACAAACAATATTCATCATTTTAAAGCGCGCTACTCATGAAATATCGTATTGTGCGCAATCACACAGGGAGCAGTTTATCCTTTGGCTCTCTCTTAACCCTCTGTCCGGTTCAATTATTTAAAGCAATATAAATTTTTTCCGTGCTCGCGATACGCGCGTACAAAACTTAGCAAGAACGACCGAATTGTTTGTGCGCATTACACGCTTTCATTTATCACCTTTATCATGACCTTTATCATATCGCTCGCTCTATTCAGTCGATAGTAACGGACGTGCTAGTAAACAGTAATCGACAGCAATTTTCTACTTATGTATACTATTTGCGCAAGAGGCATAGAACGCGTGACATCGCAGGCTGCGATTCGAACCTGCTCGTGAGTCTTCTATCTGACAGCAGGGTACATTCAGTTACAGAGGAGACTGTATTATCTGGCTGAGGTAACATAATACGCATCGAAGTAACAGGGAAGTAATTTAATCGACAGTAACGGAATGTGATTACGTGTTTCCAATTTCTACAAGTGATGGTGCTACTGTACGAATATTGAGAATATTCCCCGAAAACGCCGGCTTGGCATCTCTGTCAGACGTCAGACTTCTTTCCGATTACGTACGTAGCGGATGTCGTGAGCTGTTGCTTGAAGAACCTATATGGAAGAGTAGCACGAAGGAATAGGAGGAAAAATGGGACGAACGATTTATGCCGAGGAACCTCTTCGCGCGTATTTAGCTTCTCTAGCCAAACCGGATGGATACGTAATAGGATTAATTCTAGGACAGGTTCGACTATTTCTCTCTTCTTTTATTTTGCAGTGTCACACTTACTTTGTTACTAACTTAACATATGTGACGAACATATGAACGCAATGCAAATTTTTTCAAGTTACTCTCTTCAAATTATTGAAATTCGAACGTATTGTTGCAACTTTTTGTTTTTAATCAATTTGAAAATAAAAACTTCAGTCTGTTTGAAAAAGCTTGATTCTTAAATATTGGATTTAATAGTAAATCATATGTAACAAAACTTATTTCATATTAACTTCTTCTATTTGATTTTATAGAGTGCAGGGCAAAAAGACTATGTAGTGCATTTAGCGAAAACGCCACCTCCTCTCACTAAAAGTGTTGTTGAAGAAACATTAATTAGCTCTACTTCGCTTGAAGAACAGGATACAGCAAATACATATATTAAGTCTGTTAAAGATATACCTATAAATTGGGTCGCTGATCATGCTAAACATGTATGTATTACTGTTTTGATGCAATTATAGAACAAGATATACAAGACTTGATTCCTTATTTATTTATAAACTATTTAATTGTTATCTTTTATATAGTAGCATAATATATATCTTATAGAGATAATCATAATGATGTTTTATTTCATTTACAGGTTACAAAAATGCTGCCTGGTGGAATGTGGGTACTTGGTGTATTTATTGTCGGACCTGAGGATACTTTAGATAATACTAATAATGTACAGAAGCTTAAGTCAACTCTTAATGCTATTTACAAAACTCTTTCATGGAATAATAAGCACCTTTGTGGAAATAGCCAGGATGAGAAGATTATATTAAGTTTTAACAGCATCACACAAAAGTATGTTGCCTTTGATAGTTTAAATAAACTTGAATTCTTCATATATATCATATCTCTTAACTATAATTTAGAGTAACATTTTTTTTATATATACATACATTTATTTTTAGATATGTTTGCAAGTATGTAGAGATTAATAAAGATAATATATTAAAACCAGCTGACTGGAAATTCCAAGAAAAAGCAACTAGATGGCATCAACTTGAAGCTCTAATAGACTTTGACAGATTGTATCTTATTGCTGCAGATAAAAATCCCGAGACTTTCAAAAAACAGTTGCAGGTATTGACAAATAAACAATACATTATTTTTACAATACTATATGAATTAAAAGCATAAACCTCACAGAATATCTTGACAAGCGTAGCAGATTTAATCGAGTCTTCGCTTGTCGTTATCGAGGGAGAAGTTGGAGCTCCGGACGATGCATTAGAAACAATTGGCAAAAGAAAAAAAAATAGCAAAGAATGTAAAAATAAGAAAGACAATAACAATAATTCGCTTCAAGTTAGCCTATATATTCCCTGTGTAAGTACAAACAAATTCGTTTATAAATATTACAATTATAGTTTAGGTGATTAGATAATTAATTTAAAAAATGGAATTTTATTTTTTTAGGAACAAAGCGATACTAATTCATGTATAAAAGTAACATCATGTAGTGCATCAATACGACTAATCGGACAATTAGTCAGTAGAACATTCCTACATCAAAAAGCCAGTATTGCAGATGCTAGCATGGCTGTGAAACAAGACATTGTGAGATCTTTGGCAAGCAGATTGGAAATGCATTGGGATAGTTTAATAGAAGAAGAAAATGGCTCTCCTGAAGGTAGATTGAAAATATTGTTTTTAAGAGATTTCTCTTATAGATTTCGATACATTTATATTCTTACACTCTCTTCTTTTCAGAGAACATCACATTGCATGAACCACCGCGGAGGGTACTAATAGCATTACCCGAAAGTAAAGTTACACTATCGGATTATCTATTTCCCGGCGAAGGGCCGCAGGAGGCACTATTGTCGCTACAAGAACTTCTAGATCTCAAAGCGCAAGAAAGTCAAGTACAGAAAGAAGTCGAGCTACAAGCTGGTAAGTAGAAATATGAAAGTTTCATTATAATAACTTGAAAAAAAACGCACATATATCATTATTTAAATATGATGACAGATCCTATGGAATTTTACTGCCAAAACGATGTCAATAATAAATCGGACAATAGTACTGATACAACCAAATGTAAACGTCAAATAAGTGTTTATCAAATAACTGTTTATCTTACTGGGTTAAGTATTGCGCTCATTATATTGATATTAGCTGTTCTTGTGCATCAATTACTCATGGTTTAATATATATTCTATGTTTGTATTGTATTAATAATGCACATGAGAGAGATACATGCACACACATATTTTGTTTACACAAAATATATGTCTATTTTAAAATATAATACATTTTTTGAAACCATATCTATATGTAAATTATGTGTGATGTAAAAATATTAACTTATTTAATATATATTCCATAACAAAAACTAATATACACAATACTTATTGTTTTTTATAAATATTGTTAACGCGCAATATTTTTATTTACGAGATGGCATTCTACATACACATAGTTACATATTTTTATATCGATAAAAATAAAACTTTGTGCACAAAAGAAAAATTACAATTTTGGCTATTTATAAAATAAATGATATATAGAAATGATATAATAGAAAAATTGTTCATTTAATATATATTTTGAAAGGAAATACAATAAAATATTAATAAAAGTTTTCAACTTTCATTATATATTATATATATGCGGATTTCATTATACACCTACATAATATATACATATACAGAATATCATACATATGTCTTATATACAAAAGAATAGCATTTTTAGTCTTTATAATGGCAATTCTTATTCATTAATATGATAACTGCTATTTTATTAATATATCCTTCAATATTATTCATTTGACTAATATTTAATCGCGTAACGTCAAATTAGGTAATAACATATAATTTTGATACAAAATTTCATCAATAAATCAGGCAGTGATAATTCTAATATTTAAATGCTTACTACCAGCGGCCTTTAATAAATTTTGTAAATATCTGTAAAACTATGCTAACATGTATGAAAATTTTATTTACAAAACTTTTTACACTGTACACATGACAAATCCTTTCAAAAAGACAATATCACTAAGAATATTAGGAAAATAACAAAAGAAATATTATAATTTTTGCATTTTCCTGTAATAAATATTGTTTATTCATTATTGAATGCTCCTCTTTCTTTTTTTCTCTCTCTCTCTTGCAAAACAGTTCAAATATATTATTGAAAGCTCCTCTTTCTTTTTTCTCTCTCTCTGTCTCTCTCTCTCCATCTCTTTCAAAACTCTTTCAAATATATTCAACAGTTCTTATATAATGCAACATACTTTAATCTTTCCTTTTAATTCAAGCACAAACAAGTGCTAGAAATATAGTTTGTACAAATGTAACACTATCGATCTTTTATATTTATTATAATCAATCAATTTCAATAATATCATATGTGTGTGTGTATGTGTGTATGAAATAATACATTTTTAATGTATTATTAGATGAATGTGCCAGAAAGTAAAATATAAATTTTCTTATGTATATTAAATAACACAAATTTGGATCAGTAAAATTAAATATTATACAATTTTTTCTCTCTCATCATTATAATATCTTCTTTCAATTAATTTTTTGTATATAGAATAGAATTATGAATAATCTATATTTATATAATATTAACAATATATTAATCAACATATTAAAATAATACTTTTCAAAGTTCTTTTAAAAACGTTATAGCCAATAGAGAATGTTATATTTCTCATAATGCAGACATTAGACATTTAGAGAATAGAAAAAATATATTATTGACTCCTTTTTTCTGGCGTATACACAGTTATTAAAGCTGCATATAAATATGATATAATAATTAATGCAGTTATAGAAAATAATACTCTAATTATGCAATGTTACAATTTTTTATGCAATTATATAAATTTAACTATGCAAATTAGTTCAATCATTTTATTAATTTATATAATTTAATTTTCCTTTTTCCAGTTTTTGAAAATATCGCTCGAAATTTCTTTTTCTTTCAAGAATATGATAATTATCAACTTTTCGCAATTAACTTTGCAATTAAATATACTAATGATTATATTTGCGTGTAATTATCGTTTCTCGTGCGAATTATGACGAAAATGTAACAAACAAAAAAATTGCATTTCATGTTTTTTTTAAATTTAATATATTAAAATTGGATTATTCATATCAAAGAAAAATCGACACAACTCTATGCGATTCGTGGATAGCTGAATTTTATACTACACCCATTTTTATAAGTCCTGATTGGCTTCCTCTACCGACGCTCGCATCTTCCAATGAATCCAAATCTAAGGCAGACTCTATCATAGTTGTGTCTTGCAACAATCTAAGTCTAGACGCGGATAATGGAGTCGTTACTGCCGGTATGGAAGATGTATCCAGTGAAGAAGAGACGACGACACTTTGACGAGGAGGCAACGGGGCGATTTCATCGATATCAATTGGTGCTATATTGAGAGACGCTAGCGGTATTTCGTTGGTAACAAGTTGACTTATGCTGTTTGTCATACTACCTAGAAGCAAAATTAGCATTGATAAATAAGTAACTAAGATTATTTATAGCTTTTTTACATGGA